TTCTATGTCTATCTATGGAGCCACTAAAGGTATGTTTTTTCCTATTTGGTGTTATGTAAGAGTATAGTTTCCAAGGGCAAGGGGGTCTTAACTTCCGTACTCCATCCACAGGTGCAATTAATCAGCTTACAAAGAATTTAGCATGTGAATGGGCAAAAGACAACATTCGGACTAATGGTGTAGCACCATGGTACACGAGAACTTCGCTTGTCAAACATGTAATATGCTTTCATCTCCTCTCCTCCTCTCTCTATCATCACTTGAATTTTTCTTCTTCTACTTTACCAGATTTTTTCACTTACCAAATGCAATATAGCTGTTACAAGCTGATTGTGCTTGCTAGCATAGTAGCATGTGAGTACAAATCTACTAAGGCTTATTGATCTGTAGTTCACCCATTAACTTCTAGCTTTCTAGAAAGACCGATGTGGCATGACTTATTAGTTAGAAGCATACACACTTAATTTTGTTCTATTAGCCTCATGCTAATCCAAGTTTATATTCAAATTGAAGCAAAAAATGATTTTTGCTAATGGGGTTTTAAGGGGAAAAATCATGCTTGGGTTGGGGTTTGGGGTGGGGGGGGGTCCCCCTCTTTGACACCATACACTACCTAACTAGGTACTTTTCAAGAAAAACATGATGTCCCCAAGGGTTGTGAGCAACTTGTGTAGCCTTTTGTACACCTCACATATGATTCAAGTAGATTTATGTTGGGGAACTAAAGGTGTTTTTCAAAATTCGCTTGCCCTTGGTCCTTACAGTTTTGGTACTGGCCATAGACCCACATGAGCACATGAGATAAAAGCATTCTAACCTGCTGAGGACCATTTGGAGAAAGCTTAAACATTGGCCATAGTACCTTCATTTGGAGAAAGCTTTATGGGATGTCTAAAATGCCTAAGCGTTCTAATAGAATACTTTATAGAAACTAGGTTTCATAGGACCAAAATATAAAGCGTTATGTCTAAAAGTGTTACAATAAGTTTATAGGACGCTTTAAAAATAATGTGTCGTATTACCTATTCTATAACCATTTTTTTATAGGACATTTTTTCAAATAGTGTTGTATAAAATAGCTAATAGAACACTTTATTCTAAAAGCGTCCTAAAAATTGTGTAAACGACTTAGAGCATCCTATAAACCTATTGCAATTGTAAACCTATTGCAACACTTTTAGATGTGACGTTTTTCGGTTTGGTCCTATAAAGTATATTCTATTAGGACGCTTAGACATTTTAGACGTCGTATAAAACTAGTTTTGTCGTAGTGCCATTTAATACTTCAAAACTCTCACCAATTTGGCATATGATTCCCCTAATATCACCTCTCCGTTTGTTTCTCATAGACTTCACATATCTTACAGAAAACATATTTCACATTTTGTGTTATCTTTTGTTAGATAAACACYTACATAAAACATYGACCRAAGTTTGGGTGAAGTAACAAAGAAACCATGTCGAAGAAGATTTTGATTGACCAGTCAACGAGCGATATAGATCTGCTTATTTTGGTAGTCCATAATGTAGTAAGGTTTGAATTTTAGATCTAACACTTGTTCGATTGTTTTGTGCAGTTGCTAAGTAACGAGGAGTTTGTGGAGCGAGTGGTATCAAGAACTCCTATGAAACGAGTTGGAGAAGCAAATGAAGTGTCGTCCCTGGTGGCCTTTCTTTGTCTACCGGCTGCTTCTTACATCACTGGTCAAACAATTGCTGTTGATGGAGGATTTTCGGTTAACGGTTTCTGATGAAGTGAAGTCGATTTAACCTTATTATGTATTATTATACTATAAATAAATAAATAAATAAATATTTCTACCACTTTTAATTGCATCAATAATATGAACATCAACCCTCCTTTCAAGTTCTATTATATCAAAAATGTTTATTTAAATGTATATTTTGACGTGTCTTTTATATATATATATATATGGGATGCAAATGTAAATCAAGTCATTTATACAAACTGTGTAAATTTCATTCAACCACTCATATATATATATATATATATATATATATATATATATATATGTGTGTATGAGATGATCAAATGTAAATCAAGTCATTTATATAAACTGTGTAAACCTTATTGAATCAATCATATTTTTTTTCTTAATAAATCCCTTCTTGGTTTCCATTAATACCATCTTCTTACTTTTAGTTAGTCTTATTTTCAATTAAAAACTTAAATAAGTTTCATTAAATTTCAATTTTAAACCTACCAAAAAAAGATGCAAAGTGGCTAAGTGGATGATGGCGCACAACTACTTAAAAAATTAAAATTATCATTATATCTATACTATCTTATAAAGCATTTCGCTAAAACTCTTAAAAATTCTTAAAACTCTTAAAAACTCTTAAGCTCGTTCATCTCTAACCGATTTTATCTCATATCTGAATTCGTGTAACTAACTGCAGATAAACACAATCAAATACAGGATAAACATCCCATTTTAAATATAAAAAATCTAAAATATAATTAGGATAATCATTGAATTCTAACAGAATACTTAATTATTATCTTTATAAAATATTATATTATTAAACCAAAAATAAATTATTTCATTATTAAACTTAAATTAAATTATAAAAGAAAAAAATCTATATTATATTATAAAGCATTTGACAAAAACTCTTAAAAACTACTTTTTATGCGTAAAGTACTGTTTATTAATGCATATTACTAAAAACTCAAGACTACAAGTAAATTGTGCGTAAGTACAACTTATTAAAGCTCCATATC